TACATTTTTTTTTCTTCTTCCTAAAAGGAGTTTTAAATTAGGATTTATTCGAAAAATCACGCAGTTTTTGATTTTTTAAAATAGAAGGGTAGTTTATTTCAAAAACATTTTTAGAGTTTCTGATGATGGGGCAGAATATAATAGCCGGAAACGTAAAGAAAAATGAATGTTTTTGAAATTAACCTTTTATAAAATTAAAAAAAAAAACCATATGCTTCTTGGAATAAACCCTAATTTAAAAACTCCTTTTAGGTAGAAGAAAAAAGAAAAAAATATATATAATAATCCACGAGTTCAGTATACAATAATTTAAGAAAATAATAAGGCCAAAATAATTTTATAATACACAGTTCATATTATGCATATGAAACAAGTTGAAACTTTAATCTTTTCGTAAAATGTGAGATATAAGAGTAATGCAACAAAAATATTTTATTTATTTAAAATACATTAAATTACGTCAGTTTTTAAGTATTTAAGAACCTGCCCAAGTTGTAAAACGTTTAAGATCTGATATTGTTTTAGGTTTTATTTGTTGTTTTAAACTAAAACTCTACGTTTTAAGAAACTTTCATACAGACAATTTGTCTCGTTGGTGGTGGTTGAGAACCAGAATAATCTTTGCTGCTTTTTGTTTGGATTGAGGAAACTCGCGAAAATTGATGGACTCTAAAGAAGTGCCGATCAGTTCAAAAATCTATTTAGCAAACATAAAATTATGCCACATTATCTGTTTAAGTACGTTTAAAAGTTTTTTTTAAGATTTATATTTTATTTATTGCTATCTGTACATAATATACATTGAGCAAATAGTTAGTTATAAACTAATCTGACAGACCTGCCAGACCAGGAGGCAGTGGGGAGAGCAATCAACTTTTATTTAATTGGGGGGGGGATTAAAAGTTAAGAAAAAAAGATTTTGTGATTTTAAGCTCCAAATATATTAGCTTTATGTCATTCCTACAAAAGTTTGGGAGAAGGCAAGAAATCAATTATGAATCAACCAAATTTCACATTTTCAATCGGCTTTTGTGCAGTAAATGGTAAAATTTAGAAAATACGTCACAATTTTTGTTCTAACATTCCTTTATGTTTTATTAATAAGTAAAAATGTAGTTATCGACTAGTAGTTTTGAATTATGTGATCTGGCAGGTGGTCCAAATTTTATAGAACCACAACCATGATCTACATTTACACCTTGTGTAATTATTTTCAGAAGTTTTTATTTTAAATATTTTTTATTGTTTTACAATTTTTCCTACTATTTTCATCTATAACAATGTGATAAATTGTTGGTTCAACTAGTTCAACTTATAGAATTAATTTAAATTTAAGTTGAAAATGACCTCCAATTAAAGGCTGAGGGACTTATTTTTCTCACAAACAGAATTTTATGTCATATTCATTTTTTCAGTCGGTTAAATTATAAAACATTTAGTTCGGGCATTTTCGTTTATGAAAAATTAAAAATTCTTTAGCCAATTAAGTTACATAATCAAAACCGGGCGACGTGTGACAATTAAGAGTTCCTTCAACTTCAAAATTTATTCTAAAATTAAAGCTTGTAGTAAAAGGTACATAAGTTAAAGATATAACTTGAGTAGTTAAATTGGAAATTGTCTACCACTGATGATGTCACCATCCCGCCAGTTTTACCTCTGACGATTTCAAAAATTGTTGGTCCGTCTAAGAGACAGAAATGTGTTTTTTATCTTATCATTATCTTCATTTGTTACAAATTAACACTTTCAGCATGAACATGAAGTTTGTCCGTCCAGTAGTTATCCAAAATTTAGCAACTTCTGCTGAGAGAGATATATGTACTTGAAAATTCTCTACTTTCAGATGTAAGTAGGGTAAAGACCCAAAACGATAAATAACTACCATTAAAGCTCGTAATAAAAATGGATTTTTGTTAAAAGAAAAATTGTTATATTTCGGTTTGAAGTGGCAAGAGACTGTCAAGATGTCACTTTCGGAGAGGACACTTTTTAAATTCGTTTGTATGACAAATAATCAAAACCATTAATTATAAATAATTTTTTATTAAATAATATTTAACTATGTCATCTGCACAGTAATTCGAAATATGTATTCTAATAATCACTTTTTTAATAATTGAATTTTGCTTTTCCTTCTATAGAATATTACCATAATTGGTCAAGCGGACCACGAAATTAGTCTATTTACTTCTATAGAATCTTCATGTCAATCAGTTTAACAGATTTAAATATTTATCGTTAACGTTTAACAATAAATATACGTGTATATTTTCGTTGGTAGTTCCGCTCTTTGTTGGACATTCTTCCACAGTCTAATTGTCCATCATCATACTAGTCTTTCATAAACAAAAGGCTAATGCTCGAACAACCTCTGAGAAATAATTGAATTTAATATTAAACGTTACAGAAGGAAATAGTAACCTGATCAATTGCAACCAAAATATATACGAGGTGTTTAACAGGCCGTTTCAATAATTGTTATACCTTTCTATTGAAGTCAAAAAATTATAAATTTTATAATAAAATAAAAACTATGAGTTTTGTTCAGGTTCTTCCTTTGTATATAAAAATGTTTCACATTTAGATTTTAAATTAAAATGAATCGGAAATATTTTTGGATTAGCTAATTTCGTTTGTTGAAAAAGCTAGTGAACATGGAAAAGCTGTCACAGGCTGTCACTGCTCGCCTTGCAGTTTTGTTGGAAGCAGTGAATAATTTGTCCAGCTTGGTAAGCAGAGCTTTGCAAAATGTTATTGACCTTTGTGGTTACCCTGGGAAAAATCTTTTCTCTAATTTTAGACTGTATGAGATTTGTTTAGTAGCATTCTACGTGAAAATGTTAACAATAGTTATTTACGCTGATGATTAAACAATATGATCTTTATAATTTACGTAAGTCAGCAAACCTTGAACGACAATTGTATCTTGATGAAAATGCGGGAAACGCTATTGGGTATGAACGATGTTAGTTAACTCATTGAAAAGAAACCTCAAATAATACTTAAATCAATCAAATTTTATAAAAAATTTATAAAATTAACATTAAACTACTACACGTAATTTTAATATTTTAAGTGGCGATGTCAGAAAAAATTCCTATAAAAAAATATATATATGTTTTAGCAAGAGGAATTTCGATTTAAAAAAAATCCTTTTCGGAAAGTCGACACTTTTTTAATTTCTTTTCATTTGGAATCTGGTATTTTATTCGGATCACGAGCCAGCAAGTGAGGTGCATAACTACATCTCTAAATTCCAACAACCTTGAACCTAATTCGCGAGAGAACTTATTTCGTCTTGTCCATACAAACGAAGTTTTTTTAATTATTTGTAAGTCAATTTATTCTGCATTGAATCATCGATCGACCTTCGCGAAAAGTAACCGGGTGAAATAATTGCAAAAGAATGTTCAGTGGAGGCAAAAGTGTCGGAAACATTCAAAACTGTACCATGATCTTTGTCAATATTTGATCTGACATTGTTGAAGATATTCAATTACTGAAATTGAGATTAATTAGTATAGAAATCGTTGGCGATAAATTATTGTAAAGGTACGCAAGATAAAAAAAAATCTGTTTTTATGGTTAAATTGAAGCTATTATTACTTGATAGGAGAACGTGATGTATTCTATGTAAGTAAAAAATATTCCTTGTTTCGCATAATAAATGATGAACAGTTGGTAGATTTATATTTCCCAATTACAAAAAATTAAGTATTATTAGCTATATAGTAGCTTTAGTATTTGCAAAGTGTATATAAAATATAGAATATATATAGTTATATAAAATATAGAAGTGTATTTTAATAATGAGTGACATTTTCAAAACAGCAACATCATCTTCCTTAATATCAAAAATTCATCTAAAATTCACTGATGAAGTTCTATAGTTGAACAAAAAATGGTTCTACTCACAAACTGTAAACATTTATAACACAACATTGCAACCAGTTTTTGAAATCAGTTAAATGAACTTTTAAAACTATTATGAATTAAGACTTTCATGCTCGAAAATCAACAAATCAATCTGGTTCAATGTCCAATGTGGGAAATTAAATTTATCCAAAATTTGTCTACGCTATATGAAAAGAACTGTTCAATTCTCTTACAACGTAAAAGCCATAACACAATAAAAAATAATGAATTACACAAATTCGCCATCTGCAGTAGTTGGACTGTGTGTTATTTTTCGAATTGTCTTTTTCGGAATGTGGGGTGATCAATTGTGTATGGGTGATACCTAGTCAGTATATAAACCAAAACAGGCCCACCATTGAAGATGGTGAAAAGCCGAATCGCATCTGTCAGACCAAAACAGTGTGAAGAGACAGACCAAAGTGGTCGTAAATGACCAAACGAACAATTTGAATTAATTTTAAATGTTTTAGTCAGTAGAAGTAATCACGCACGAACTTACAGTTAAATTGAAGGATTGAAATCACAAGAGCCAGGCAGGGATTTGTTAGACAAAATTACGATCCTATTTTTTTAAAATATCGCACATTTAATATAATCATGTTTTATCAATAAAGATTCAATAGTTATTGGAATGCTTTACAACAATGTTCATTTGGAATTCATGTTACAATTTACAGATCGTAAATCTAATAGTTTTATGGATGCGGATTGAATAGCGTGGAGAACGAGATTATTCGGTCGTAAACTGTGAAAAAAGTGTTAAACATTTTTTTTCCACCAGTAACATTATCTCGTTTAATATATCGTGCATGCAATTACCATAACTATAAATTTAAAAAACCAATCTGTGAAATTGTCTGTACATTTTTGTATTGGTCATAAATTCATATCTAAGTCCATACATGTCAAGTCGGACAATTTATGCAGTCGTAATTAGGGAAAAGTGTGTTAAACTTTCTTTCTACAACTTAAAAGTTTTTTTTTTCCACGGTTCGTTAAACGCTCTTTCGTTAATACATACGGCACGTCAACGGGATCGGTTTGGAGGACACGCGATGCGATAGTAAAGTGTTGCTGACCTTAGCCAAGACACACTGGCCAACGTCATTCGACCTTGTAAACACCAGTGAGCAATCAAGCGTCATGGACTGCCCCAATCATCCGTACAGAGACACGATGCTGCATCTCACGATCATCACTGACGGCCATCGAGCACGAGCCTGGCACAGATCTTATTCAATTAAACGTCGAGCTACAAAAGATGCGCGCAGAAAAACAAACATGACCCCTATTCATTCCTGACCTATCTCTCACCCTGCCCTCGTATCTACGCCACTTGAATAGTGAGTAATGGTCTTAATAAAACAGCATGACATACACAAAGTGGGAAGTACACTGGTTACCAACAAAGTACAGGACTACGTGAACATGAGAACGACCAACGAACATATTTTATTAAGATTTTCCTTTCAGAATGTACTGTCAATATATAAAAATCTGAAAGATAAGATCGCAAAGAAACTGATAAGAATCATCCCAACTAATAAATAATTGATCATGATTGCACACCAATAAAGCCCATTTGATTTTATAATATTCAATGTTCACCATAAAAAGTCAATATCAAATAGAAACAAAATGTTTAAGATTTGTTATAGATAAAAAATAGTTTTCTGTGGCAGCAGTAAATTATCTCGAATGTTTTAATGTGCATATAAACCAGGGAGAGATTTATTTTTTTTAAAGTCTAGGGAGGAGCGAGGTTTAGCATCGCCAAAAGAAAAAACTAGTAGTTGTCGTAGTAGTTTTTTAGATAAAAAGAAGCAATTTAAAATGTATTTTACACTGAATGGCCCTAGGTTTTTTGGGATTTGTAAAGGACGTTGATAAAAAAGATCTCTTAAATCCGCACGTTGGCCATCGACCAGCAAGACCTCGGGGCATGGAACCTATTTATGGTACAAATACAATTTCAGGGTTATTACTTTGTTTTGAATTGGTTCAGATAGTCACAGTTAAAATGATGTATTTGCAAAAGAAAAGTAAAAACAAAAACACTTACCCCTATGTTCAGATAGGAATCAGCATTAGGGTTTATTTCAAATATCTACTATTTCCAAATAATTAAATTATACAAACTGATATTTCGTAGCAAGGGCTAGAAACAAAAGGCAAACAAACTGTATTTAACATATTTTAGTTTAATATAACAAAATAGAAAACATTAAGTACTTCAGTATTTATATGATGCTATTGTTTGAGAAAATCTTCGTGTACAAATTCCAAATGTTATATTATCCATTTTTATATTATTAAGCTTGTTAGATGTACAAGGTAATTAAAAAATTCTCAAGCTTTTAAATAAAACAAAAAATAAAATCATTTTTAAGTCAACCCTACTTAAAAATAATAGGTGAACATTCTTAGCTTGGAACGCGATGATTTGGTTGGACAATGTCTCAATTGAAATGAAAGAAGGCCTAAACAGCGAAAAGAAAATGGGAACAAGTGTTCAAATAACTTTCAAAATTATTAGGGCGAATGCCAATCTTTTTTGGCAGTTACACTGTCATCTAGGTTCAATTACCGTTGTATAGGTACCGCAGACGATTTTAGGCTTGTGGGTATTGAGACCAGAAAAAAACTTTTGCGAGGCGCTGAAAATTGCATTACATTACTTTAACAGTCAATTTGACAAAAATGGAAGTGATCGTGCGTGAAACATGTTATAGAATAAATATAATATATCATGTTAATAAATTCGTAGTTTTATTGAAACGATTATCGACCCCTATAATTTATAATATTATACTATACTTTCATTATAAACAAATAATGTCAGATTTTATCTTGAGGTGGTTTAGTGGTTTCTGATCGTTCTCGTCTGGCCTATCTTCGCTGTTTCGGTCTGTCAGACATGTTTCGGACACATCATTTATCTTAGTGGTCTTCGTTTAGTCGGGTCCTTTTTAATAATGGAGTGGGTCGCTCTTATCTTCGACTTTGACTGTTTAGAGTGGCTTTTTATAGTTTGTCCTGGTCGGTTCTGAAGTTGGTGAACTGTTTTGCATGGTATGATGTTTGTAATTTTGTGTTTTCTTGAGTTTAATCGTGCTGAATGTGTTGTGTTTATATATTGCTAGGCTTTCAACTAGGTTTTTGATTTTGATTCCCTAAATGTCCTTCTATGTTCCATGTATCTGTTTTTTATTTTCTTGCCCGTTTGCCCGATGCACTTTTTAAAAAATGTATAATTACTATTACACTACAATAATAATATTTCTGTTTTATTTCAGATCCTAAATTAAGGCACTGGAGAGGTCAAGAGATGCTCTTTTTCAAGTTTTCTGATAAGATGTTAGATAATAAAGTAGTTAGGGCAAAACTATGGCTATACTTAAGACCTGGGGAAACTGTCGAAAACTCCTCGGTCACTATAACCGTACTTAGGATGCTACGAACGTCGAGTAACTCGGATATGCCGACTCTGAACACACTGACTTCTACTAGGGTATTACAAAAAAGATAATATTAATTGTAATTTATAAGAAAAAATTAATATATATTTTTTAAACAGGAAGCACGGCCGATTCGTACAGGGAGATGGGTGTCGATTGACGTTAAGAAACTAGTTGTCGAATGGTTTAAAAACCCGAAGGAAAACATGGGGCTCGGAGTGCACGCAGCCATACCACTCAAGGATTCCTTGCATACACAACATCTAATAGCCCTGTCGTCGCAGTACGAAGGATCTTCATATGTAAGAAAATTTCAGATTTTACGATTGATATCTGTATTATATAAAGAATGCTGCTTATCTAAAATAAAGTTTTAACATTTTATAAATAAATCAGAAGAATAAGTTCGCGGTGGACATTAAAATCCCATGTGATAACATTTCAGCCCTGTTAATAATTTTCACTAAACTGATTTTCAACTTTTACTATATGTTCAATTGAACTGATCAATTCTCAATTTTTGCAGCGATCGACTAAATTGGACGCTTAATCCCAGCGTATTAATTTTTTTTTACTTTCGCATTTGATTGCAGTGCCCTAAACAAATGAGCGTTATACCGACATATCTATAATACATAAATAAGTAATAACTATAACAACCAAATAAATAAATAATTTAATTGACAAATTTAAATATTTATATTACATTTAAACTCAAAGTCCAAAATAGTTCTACAAGATTAATAAATAAATATTTATTATCAAGGCTAATAAATATTTATCATTTACTGGTTTATCCACGCAACGTAAAGTTTTTTGTTTTTTTAAACAGTTTATATCTTTCCTTTGGTCATGGTAAGAAGCACATGCCTTTTGAGTTCAAGATCTTTCCTTATACTGCAACAGTTACAAAATCAGAACAACGTTGATATATTTTGAACAGGACTGATCCACACAACCCATAGTTGCTACGGATTATGTTTATTATCGAATAAACCTTCTTTTATATTAAAATGATGAAAAATGGCAAAAAGGAGGGAAAGTTCAAAAGGTGGGGTTGAGATGGGAAGTTAGTGTCCGAGTGGATCGAAGTCACGATAGGTGACTAGCGGCATATCTAGCCGAATGTCGTGGGTTCGAATCCCGCTCGTGACATTGACTTTTTTATCTCAACTAAAAACCTTAATTAATCGAAAGATGTTAATTGGTCAAGCAGACCACGAAAACTAGGGAATTTTTTTATTAAGTCCATTTTAGCGAACCATGGCTTTTTTTTCCTACCATGGTTGATTGACTTAAAGAGCATTCTTTTTGGGGTGGATTGGCATCTTTGATACCATTTACATTCCACATCATTTTAAAACAAATTTCTCTAAGTTATGTCATTTCTTCAACCAATTTTCTGAAAGTTGGACTATGTGTATTCTATAACTTTTTTCCAGAAAGCTTTTTTTTCGGAATTATGGAACGGCAATTTCATTGAAGAATCTGTACGTTAGCCATTAGAATAATTATACTTTTATGTAGAACAAATATAATTAGATTTATTAAAATTTGTGTAAAATGTTTAAATGAATTTATTATGAGGGAAAATTTTGTTTTGATTGCATCAAGATAACGTATTTTATATCCAAAAAATATATTATTTGTATTCAGAGAACAGTTATCTTTAGGATTCGCATGCTTTTGAGGATTGGCGTTTTGGCCAAAGAGTGTTTTGTTCTTTTTCCTAATTGCGTCTTTAAATAAGTTTTCGAGCAGCGGGTTTGTTAATAATTTTGATTTTTGATTACTAACACTTTTAGGTAAGACTCGAAGGGCTGTCAGGTTTCTGCTTATGCATCAACGGGATCCGGTTCCGTGTTTTTAAATTATTATTGGTGTGGGTATCTTACACCTTAGCGAAATCGCTGATTGAGCCTAGAAGAATGAATTTCTTTGACATTACAGTAGAATATGTGCTTTTTTTGTGATAATTCGAATCACCTCTGCGTCCACTCTATCTGAAGCTTTGTGTTCACTACATTTACGTATTTGGGCTCATGTAGCTGTGGTTGAACCAACAGTCAAACAGCGAACTTTACTCTTACGATTGAATGTGATTTATCGATAACAGTTCAAACATTGCCTTACAGAAGAAACATAAGGGTAACAACACCTCATTCCACATCTGGAAATGTATTCAGTGAAAAAACGGACACTCGTGTTTTGTTGTTTATTTCAAATTATATGTATTTTTTATCGTTATGATAATTACAACATACTTATTTTAATGTAAAAAATTTAAAGAAGATCGGAAATTCATCAGTTTCAATAAAAATTATTTAATTAAGATGTTTTGAAAGAAAATTTGCCAAAACTAAATAAATTGTTAGTAAATTATAATGTCACTGAATTTTCTTTTAAACCATCATAAATATTTTTATTAAAACTCATGATCTCGTTTAATTTGGTTTACATTAAAATATGTTTGTTGTAATTAATACAAGGATGAAAATACATATAGTTGAAATGAACAACAAAATAGGAGAGTCCGTTTTTTTTATTTTTTTATTTAAGTGTACCTAACGGGATTTTGTGAATGAAATTTTATAACGCAACTCATTTTCATAAGCGATACCGTCCTCACTCTCGTAATATTTTTAATAGTTACTGGTGTCTTGACAATTTGAATTTCCTCTTCCCAAAGATCCGTATTATATTCCTAATTATACTCATTTTGTACGCAAAATAAGACGGATTATTCGAGACAAAATTAAATTGTGACAAAATTTGGTTCTGAACAAGTGCATTTGCTGAAGTCTCGAAGGTACATTGAATTTTTATTCACCACCTTCCCATATTTAAATCCGGCAGACATATTTACAATTTCGCCGGAATATTAACAATATTATTATAATCAGACGAAAAAATTATTTTGCCGAGTTTCCTTGGATGCATTTCCAACGTTTTTCTCCTGGCTTTCCACGAGTACAACGAATGGAGCAGCGTCTTCAAACTCATAACAATTAAGTAAATACGACAGCTGGACTTATCCAACTTGTGGAGGTCATGCTTCTATCTAGTTGTAGTTAAACAATTGAGCTAAATCAATTTTAAAAGGAGAGAGAAGGAGAGAGGAAAAGACGTTAAAACGTGATTAAGATTTGAAAGGAGTGGCGTGCCTTAAAGCGATTAGTGAGGCCAGTATGTTAACCTACATACAAAATTTGCATGAACCCACATGTTCTGATACATATCGTAACGACACAGGCCCCATACTTCTACTAGGTATTCAAATGAAACAGTTACTGATTTCAATATTACAGCCGTCCGTGATTTGCGATACAATATAGAAATAAGGGATTTATATGAAATTTTCAGTTAAAACTCTGAGCTTTATATTTAATTAAATTTGTTAGTAGCGACTAATGACTAACGTCTGATTTAAAAATGAGTTTAAAAAAGTTAAATTTCTGTTACACAGATTCTCTCTAACTTCATTTTAAAATAGGACACACATCACATTAATTATGAAAAAGAGCTCTGATTAATAATTTTTATGTATTTATTTTAAACACAGAAATCACAATTGGCATTGTCCTGCAAAAAAATATACTTATTGTTATAGTAACATATAATGTGAATAAAAGGTGGAAAATGTATATCTTGAAAAAATAAAAAATCAGCTTTTATGGAATAGCTTTTAAAAAGTACTGATAATTTAAAAATGTATAGATTTTGTGGACGGTTCTTGCATTTTTTTTAAGTTTAGCTAAAATTTGAAAAGAACTTTTTTTATGAAATTTGCTTTACTATAAAACTTTTTATAAAGAAGAATTTGCTCGATGGACCAATAGTTGGTCTTTGGTCACCAATTGTAATATAACTGGTCAATTATTGAAAATATTAACCTCTATCATGTTATAATAAGTCTTTTTATAAGTTAATGTTTCTTATAAAAATTCACATATAGAATGTTAATACAAATTTAATTTTAGGTACCATTCCTTGAAGTGCACATAACAGATACAAGAAAGCATAGAACAAAGAGAACAATAGGATTGAATTGTCCTGAAAATTCTGATGAGAAACGATGCTGTAGATACCCTTTGACTGTCGACTTTGAAGAATTTGGATGGGATTGGATAATAGCACCGAAGAAATACGAAGCCAACTACTGCTCTGGAGAATGTCCACTTGTTTTTCTGCCAAAATACCCTCACACGCATATAATTCACATTGCCAATCCTACAGGAACACCTGGGCCATGTTGTGCACCAAGAAAAATGTCTTCAATTTCAATGTTATACTTTGACCAAGAGTTTAATATAATTTATGGTCTTCTTCCTGGGATGGTTGTAGACCGCTGCGGTTGTGCCTAGTCTGACTAGTTGAACACATAAATACAACCACCTAAGCCAGCAATACCTCAGATGCTACTTAATTCTATGTCGATGTCCAATTTTCAGCGACACAAAACATACTTTTTAAATACCTCAACAGAATTATACTACATGTACCTCTTCACAAAGAAAATTGTTTTCTAAGCTTGAATTTCTTATTTTATTTTCTTATTTTGTTTTATTTATAATCAGTAGTTTCAATTTTTGATCAAACTCAAACATATTGTGACTTCAATAATAAAATAAGATGTCCATGAAAAAATGTGTCGCTCACAAAAGTCGAACAAACACCTTGACAGATGAAGTAGGAAATTTGAGTGCATTCGACCAGGAGGGCCTTTATGTAACAGCCAGTAGAGAAGAAGATTGGTAATATGCTAAATTATGTTGTTTATTGTGCGTTCTTGAGGGTATTATCTTCTGGGAACAAATTCTTAGAAAGCTAGACTATTAAAAGATCAGGTTTAAAGGTTATTTAAAAAATAATAGATTTAAAATTTAACATTTTGAAAGAATGTGATAATCATTTGTTAATATTTCATAGTAAATATAGTAATGAATTGATGAAGTGCAGAAGAAGAAACTGAAAAATAATTTGACCCATTTATTTCTGTTTGAAAAAAAGAATTATTATAGTTCCACAAAAAAAAGTTAAATCTCACTAACACTAAAACATCTTGTGATTTTTATACTAATTGATCAAAATAGTGATAAATATTTGTATTTTATTGAAATAAAAGTGATAATTTTTTTCATAAATTTTAATCTTAGTATTAAATCAATTGATAGTGTGATAAATATTATTATTAAAAAAATTGATTTTTTAATTTTGTTTTATTTTGAATAGTGACTTTTTTTAGATTAGTGATTGATTTATTGAGCAGTGTTTTTGTTGTTATTGTTCTCTTTAAAAAAGAAATTGTGTGAATGCAACAAATTTGCCTTTTAAGCTGCCTTATAACAAAGAAAGTGGTTATAATATTAGAAAAATGTGAAAGAACTGTCAAAATTATTTAATTAATATGTCAATTATAAATTATATGAATAAACCACAAAATTTTTAAAAAGTTTCATTTTTTTTAAATGTTTGGTGCATTACTTTAGGAAAGTCTAATATTTTGTTTTTCAATAACAAACTGTACAATTTAATGTGTGTTTTATGTGTAATTATGTACAAGTCAATAACATCCAGTATCGTTTTCTTCAAAAAGAAACATTATATCTCTTTGTCATTTTGATTAGTCTGGTTCTTTCAGTGCCTTGTGGAACTGCCTTTTCAGAAATTTTAACATGGTATACTGCTCCAAAAATAAAATAAAAACACTTATAATAATGAAAATGAAAATAAATTGGTATGATTTGAATGTGTATCCAAAATAAGAGGATATAAAATTGTTTGATTTAGATATTAGTTATAAAATAACTGAATAATGAAAAGACTGTGTGTAACCAGAAGATCTCTAATGGTGAAGGGAAACAAGGATAAGGAAAGGCTATAATAATAAGATCAAATATATTTGAAAGCAGTGTGGCTTGTGACTTTGGGGATTTGAATTTATTCCTTTAATAATTCGGTATTAAGAGAATCTAAATTAGTTATCTTGATTAATTATTCTATTCACTACAACAATGTGGTGCCAAACAAATAACTACAGCACAAAAGTTAACTTAACTATTGTAGCTTATGGATTATACATATATAACTGCAAGATGAGTTTAATTTTTTCTGATTTCCTTTGTACCATGTATATTGTGAGACAAGTAAACGTTATTTCACACAGTGGTCAATATATAAATATCTAGATTTTAACCAGAAGTACAAATACATATGGAAAATTGTACAATTTCATGTTATTAGCATTTTAATATTGTTCTTTTGTAAATTAGATGTAAAGAAAATGTAAATTGGAGATAAACAAAATATTTTCTAAATTGTAATTAAAATATTTAAAACATTTTTCTGTATGTCAATACTTTTGTATGAACTTGTTTTTAAAATCATCTATTTTTAAAAGTTAACTTACAATTTTTAGTTGAAAAATTTAGGCAGGGATTATTAATTAAAAAAATGTTTTTAAAAATAAATTGTCCTTCTTTTCCCCATAAATTATCATTGGTTTTCAAAGGAAAGGGCAAAGAGGAAAAGAAAACAATAGAAGAAATAAAGTAAGTAAAAATCAATCAAACTTATTGTTGTTGCCTTCAGTTGATGATCTACATAATTATGGAGTATATATGTAGGTATCAATGATAACAAACAAAAAATTTGGGAAGAGTGTCATGGAGTTCCAGTAGTAATGTGACATCATATTGTGATCATGATTTTTAAGAGCAATAACAATTTCTTACTACTTGATACTAATTGGTTCCTTTTGTGGACAAATAAAATTTTATTCTAATGCAATTTGGAGCCAGTTTTGTTGTAAATATTTGATTGCCAGCGTATGACAAAAATTCTTTTAGCAAGTACCTAATTTGGAAAAAAAAGTAACATCATAAGATAAGTAAAATACATACATACTTTCAAAATTATTTTGATTTCTTTACTTAACAGCTTTATAATCACATTCCTCACACTGTACAATCCAAAACCAATCAATTTTTCAAATGACTGTACAAAATTTTTCTACAATAAATAAAAATGAAATTACAGCATGGAACGTAATTTTCTGGAGTTGTTTTACTTTGAAATCATTTGAAATTTGAAATAAGAATATATGCATAATCAATCATTTTTCAAAAGTAAAAATTGATACTATTAAAAATAAAAAATCATGTTTTACATTTTTCTAGTATATATTGTAAGAGGTCTATCATATACTGTTTGTTAAAAAAAATTAGAATTTTGTATACTATTTGGAAATAAATTGGGCAATTTGAAAAAAAATCTTAGCAGCAATAAAAGACTGATTTGCCTGTTCACCTTTGGGTACAAGATATATTCACTTGACAGACTAAAAATCAGAGGTAACGGATTAAGGAACCCCTAAGCATCATGGAATACATTAAAACGAGGAAACAGAGTCAATAATATACATGACACAATAATGCTGTAACTTCTGTCTCAAGTTAACTGTAGTTCTACTAAAAATTGCCAAAAAGTAGTATATTAGAAAATAATAATACAATGACATATAATATGAAAGATTTCCTCCTGTGGTTTGGGGGGCAATAAACCTGTAATTTGATCCTTGCTTATCATTCTGGTCTGCCAGTCCTGATTTGTTCTGCCAGATATGTTTCAGTTACTCAGCAACTTCAGTGTGTCATTCTGCAGCATCCCAGCGAGGATAGGCAGACCAATAGAAAGCAGATTAGGTTAAAGAAGAAACCACAAAAAGGAATACTGTACAGATTTAAAAAGAGGTTGGTAATATGGACAAGTGCTGAATAGCATAAGGAGGGTGTGAGCATAGTAGTAGGCAGTTTAAAAATGATATGAACTTATGGAGTTTGCTAATTTTCAAGTAATTCAAGTTAAAGTATCCCTACCAAATATCAAACTTACAAATTAGGAATCATTTCTGACCTAACAAAAATGTAGATGTTCACTGTACAGAAACATCGTTAGTTGAGAATTTTTATTTTATTTTTAGAAAAGGCTAATCTAATGAGCTAATGCATATAAACAATTACATTTATTCAACCTGAGGATGGGAATTTATTTTTGGTTTAAAAGTTGTTTATGTGCATGATAAATTTAATCAAGTGTGTAAATATTAGTCTGTATTTTTAAAAATGTTGGTAATATGTAAAAATGTGTGACTGGCTGAAACACCTTACGAACCCACCTTAGTATTCACATGCTCATTTACCTGACCACCAACAAAGAGATTGATTATTTAAATAACAATCACCCTCTGAAGGGAAAAATTCTTCCCTTAAAATAGCAATGATGAACCAGATTAACTTTTACATGGTTTGAAACTCACAGAACAACTTTACACTTTAAACATTATTTAAAAAACACTTTAAGGAAACAGGAAGGATTGCCAGAAAATGCTAAAATTAAAAAACAATCATATTCATTCCGACAAATGTGGTTTCAAAGCCTGAAAGAAAACTGATTAATTATGGATTAAACGATAGTGCTTGTTTGTGTGTGTGTGTGGGGGGGGGGGAGGTTGTATAAGTAACAGGGGCAATTAAACGATAATTTAATGTGTTAAAATGTTAGAACTGAATATTTAAACAATCATGCATTAGTGCCTAGCATGCTCACTAACCTGACTGCCAACGGAGAGAGTTGACTTACACTTTGTAAATCCCCCCTGGAAAAAGCCAAAATTAAGTTAAATTTTGAGAATAGTAGGAAACATACATCTAAACAGTACATTTTATATTAATGAAATTTACCCTCTGAAAGCAAAAATCCTCGCGGTGAAACAGCACAGTTGAACCAACTGAATTTGCACACTATTTAACACTCGCGGAACAACTTTACGCACTATTTAAATATCACTTCACGAAAACGGAAAAAAACTGAAATTGGATGAAAACAACTTCTGTAAAATAAACCTGCAAGAAATGTCTGAAGAGTACAAGAAATATAAAATGTACTTTATGAAAAAATATTTATGAAAAACAAAAAAATTGTGAAATACCACTATAGCATATAAAACGTTTTAATATATTTTTTTGTACAAGTGCAAAGTAAATTTAAGTATTTTTAATAATTTCCAAAAATGGAGAGTAGACTTAATCTTTTCAATTATTAAATGGGAAAAATGCAAATATTAAATATTTAGTATTAAATGTAATAATATTTATTTATTTGCTTATAGTATGCCTACTTTTTTTATGATTGACCCACAAACACGTAATTTTGGGAGAAGCCTGTGCTTGTAGACAGGTAGAGGCATGATAATGTTAAGCAATAATTTAATGTGTTAAAATGTTGAATATTCCAACAATCATGCATTAATGCCTAGCATGCTCACTAACCTGATTACCAACAGAGATAGTTGACTTACACTTTGTAAATCACTCCTAAAAAAATTAAGTTAAAATTAGAGAATTATACAATCATGCATATAGACATTGCATGTTATATAAATAACATTTACCCTCTGAAGGTAACATTCCTCTCCTTAAAACAGCAATGATGAACCAGGTAAATCTTCACATGGTTAAGAACATTCAGAACAATGGTAGCAGAACAACTTTACAAAATTTTTAAATACGGCAAACAAACCACAAAATGGATGAAAATCCCTGGAACATAGAAATGCAAAAAGTTCATAAAGCATGCAGTAAATTAAACATACTTGACACTAAAATTATTTATTACAAACAACAACAAAAACATGACTACAACTATCACATATAAAACATTATTAATATAATTTATTGTATAAATACTAAATCAATTTAAGTGCTTTTTATGTATTTTCAAAACCATTTTTTCTAGCCTGCTTGAATAAACTTCATAATGAACTCCATTATTGTTCAGAAATCGTGAGATGCGGTCTGGTATGATGTAGGTTTCAGAAAAACATTTTCTTTATCATGTCGTTTTGATCTTTATTGAGATCATCTCCAGGGCCTGGGATTTACAAACATTGTTTAAATTTAATAAATACTTGTAGGATGTGGAAAAAAGTGAATTTATACAATGCAAAAAAATATGTTTTTTATATTCAATCAAAGTATTTCTACTCACTCAAAGTGTTTGTTTTCTGCATAATTGTGCCATTCTTGTGTGTGATATTGCCGTTTTATATTTTGCATTGTATAAATTCACTTTTCCACATCCAAAATGTAATTGTTATATGTAAACAATGTTTGTAAATACCAGGCCTTGAAGACGATCTCAATAAAGATCGAAACGTTGGCACGATACAGAAAATGTTTTTCTGAAACCTACATCACACCAGACCGCATCTCATGATTTCTGAATAATTATGGACTAACAGTCACTAATTACCACACACAGAACTCCATTGAATTTAATGTTCTAATGACCCAGGCTAAGAAATACAAGTACACGGGGTATGTAAAGCAATATTTTAACACAAAAGAAAATACATAAAGGATGGTTCTTACAGGTTGTTGTTTACAGCTATCTGGATTTCAAGCATTAAACTCTTATCATCAGTAAAAGCCAACTTTTATAAAACGTTTATATATATAAATATTATATAGAATATACAGATTTGTATATATTATAAATGTTATCACTGTAATTTTTTCTTATCACATGTTCACAAGCATATCTCACCCATGGGCCCAAAAAGCTGTTGGTTTCATTTGTCTCATAGACCGTATGTTTAAACTACCATTAACACTTGCTAATTATAAAAAAGAATGA